ATGTACAGTCCTCAATCTCACTTTAGGAAAATCCTATTTCAAAGAATGCTAAGTCTATCTTGTCCAGATATATGGCCTGAAAAATTAAGCTGGGAACATTTGAATATGCCTCTCTTAGGACTGGACTGAGACATTTCACATGAGCATGTGAAATGATCAGTATTAAAACAATGTGCCTGGTAGAATTTCCTTGTGTCAGTGATTGTCTCTCTTCCTCCTTGCCAGTATGTGATCACCTATTTGAGTACACAGATATAATTTTAGGTTTATTACCAAACACTGTTCCTAACACAGGTAGGATTGGTGTGCATGGACACTCATGGTTGTCTAGCAGATCAACCAAGACCAAGGTTCATGAGAGAAGCCATGTTCAGCCTGCAGGTGGGTGCCCTTACGCACCAGCCCGTGGTCCAACACTGCAGACACAGCACCAGCATCCTTCCTCTCTTTCTGCTAGCAGTGGAAGGAACCAACAGGATGAGCAGGAGCTCACCTCAGCCCAATCTCCCAAAATGAAGTCTCCTGCACTGGGACACTGCTTCCATCTCCCACTGCAATTTATTTCATTCTGAGTTGTACCACTGGAACTGTTTATCAAGACATACTACAAAGATTGTTGGAAACTGATCTGGGTTCAAAAGCTTTTATGAAATGCTGGTGGCAGATGTGAGGTTGGCAAGAGTCTCCTAAATCAGTGGTGCTACATGACAGATAGAGAAACTTCATCTAAGGTTTTCTTTTCCCCACCAGCTTTTGTGTATCTTATGTCACTAAATTCACAAACATGACAAGCTAACAGGAAAAGAGTTGCAGAGCTTGAACCTTACCAGTGAACAGTCTTTCCATAAGGAAACTTTACACTGGCATTGGTTTGTAAAAATGTATGGAAATGTCCCAGGCAAACCTAAGTCCCTAGTTTTCAAAGATAGACACAAAAATAAATGGTGTCTTTGTGTAAATGCATGCCGGGGAAGTACAGTCATGAGGATTGAAATGATGCCTGGTTTTTCTCATGCTCTCTCTCTCAAGCACAATCAGAAAATAAAATTCACTGATTGCTTTTGAGGTTTCCTTTAAAACATCTTTATAACTCCAGTGTACTTTCTACTCCTACTTACTCCTGCATCATCAGTCATGCACAGTACTGTAAAATACCATGTTTGTCACTCCTCTGAAAAGTAAAGGTATATGCTACCTGAGAGATGTTGTCTCAGGCCTGCTGAGTGATTCATACTATGATGAAGTCTTACTATGATGGGAGGACAACAGGCAATTCAGTAACTAAGTTTTCTCACAACTTATTTATCAATCATTCAACACATTACCACATTTTTCCTGTTAAAACACACAGAACTATCACCCAGGAGCTAGCAAAAATGGTGGCATTTTGCTCCTGTTCACAAAATGGGTTCTAAAGTACCTGTGGGCTAGAAACATAAAGTGCTTTTTACTGCCTATAGCAAGCATAAAGGCTTTCAGACTGCAAGATGCACAATTGCTTCACCACAAAATGAGTAGAAACATTTCATTTCTGCAGAACCTAGTCATTGTTTGTGAGCTGTGTAACACGAGGAGCCTGACACAGAATTTCCCTCTAATTAGCAACTACGTATGTCCAACTCAATTGAGAAATAGGACTTAGAAAGCCTTAAAAACATTATTTTAAGTGTTCATTCCCCCTATTTAAAACAGGAAAAGATTATGCTAAGACACACAGGTACACAATGGGAATCTTACCTTTTACTTCTCTGTCTGGACGCACAACATGAGAAGCCATCTGTCCTGCAGGACAACAAGAAAATATCTTTGCTGGTTTTATGACAACAATTAATTTTTGTGATCCTAGAGATCCTCTTTTTTCATCAGGTATTAAATAAAGCACTTTCTGAGGAAGGTGAAGGTTCTAGTCAGGCTCTTAGAGGTTCAATAGGAATTGCAGTTTAAGCAGGGTAAAGGCAGAGCTTGAAGTTTACCTCCATCTCTATTACACCCTCTTGTAAAATAGTTGCAGTGTTCTATCTCTTTATGGAAGTATATCTATATATCTTTAGAAAGTTAAGTAGATATTTTCTACTTGCTAAACACATATGATTCACTCATGAATAGTTTTCAAGCCCTGGAATCTGACTGATTTCATTTTGTTAAAATCTGATATTTTAAATCTGATACAACAGTCTAAGCTGTTGTAAGGAAGCATGAAGGAGCTATATTTATGTGCACCAGCTAAATATCTCATCTGCCAGCATTCTGAACAGGAGCAGTCTCAGATCAGTGTCTACTCCCTCTATAGTCACAAAATGAAAATTAATTGTCCCCCTGCAAGCCCCTGTAGCATCAGCAGACAATACTCCTCAAAGGCCATGTGAGTACCATCAGTGTCATATGATGCAATTTAAGCAGAACACCAATGGACAAGATCTACATCTTCACAGAAAATCTCATGAGAAAGGAATTTATTTTTATAAATTAAAGCACATAATTTTGCCTTTTTTATAAGCTACGTGGATTTTGTGTTTTTAGTTATGTAATTTTGGGTTATACGACTAGCTAAAAAAAGTCTATAATGAAGATTAACCTGGAATAGACAAGATAAAATTTTTGACTGTTTTGTACCAAAGCCAGTTGAATCCACCAGAAACTTAAGGAGTAAACAAAAAAAACTTAGTCTAAACACTAGAGAGACTGAAATTTAAATATTATGATATAAATTCATGTTACCTATAAGAGTCCTGCAATGGATAACAAAGGTGTTTTTATGCACTCATCATCCTCAGGCTTTGTTTGTGTATCCTTAATGCACTCCTCTCATTCCCACAATCTGAAAGGCAAAAAACAACAAAATCAGTGGTGGGAAGGGGAATTGCTGCCACAAACCTAAAAATTTAATAAATGAAAAAGCATTTAAAGACTTAAGATGATCTTAAGCAATATTGCCACAATATATATCATCACATAGAATGACAGAATAGACTCAGGGGCTTGTGCCACCCCAAAAGGAGAGAGGAGGATCCTGCAGGGCTGAGCTTTGCCCCAGGAGCTGCTGCGCTCCCAGAGGAGGCGCCAGTCCAGGCAGCTGCTCGGGTGGTGAGGCTTCTTCAGAGTCCAAAACCCTGTGACATTCATCCCAAGAATGGTGAAGTGTGGCTAGAAGCTACTTTTCCCTTCTGAGGACGTTATTTTCTGTTGGGTTTCACACTCACTGTGGAAGGGATTGCTTTACAAAATCACCTTTTCCTTACATTGATTTTCTGGTTGCTTTGCCTTCCCAAGGTTTTGTGGAGTACACAGGATCATGTAGTATTGAGCTTACAATAAACAAGACCTGGAAATGGACTCTGTATGACATTAGGAGGCAGAACTTTAGCTGATTTTTTAGAACAGGCAGTAAAATTAAAAAAAAAATAGCAGATTAGCCTGATGAAGTGTCGTTTTGTTCATATTTTCCTATTCTTAAAAAATAAAACTTTTTCAGGTTTCAGAAAAGAAGGAAAATATCAAAGTAAGGAATGTTCTCAGCATTCTTGAAAAAAGGGATTCTTCATATTACTACTTTTTATGGGAGTGACTGTCAATCATCAATCTTAAAAACTGTCATAAACACCCACACATGCTATTTCAAAGATACCTAATGTAGGATATATAATACCATATTTCAAGCTGGATTCAAAGCTTTTCATCTATCTAATAGTTAGGAACAAGGAAAAACACAAACATCAAATGAAATGAAATGTATTTGTTGATGCTAACTGCAAATATTCATTTTATAAAAATTAAGTCTATTACACATCCATTTAAAAATAATTTTTCATGTCTGAATGATGATAGGGATCCTGAAATGACTGCATCCATAGAGAATCACTGATCCAAGCAGCTGCTCTGCCAGACAGAACCAATATTAAAGTGCATGTCATGGCTTACAAATTTCCTCATTTCTTAAAGAAATCAATAATCTTTCACAGATTTCATCCCATTGTGACCTGATCTCAGACACTCATTAAGAATTTATAATCCACAGAAGCAGAGAGGGGAAATTCCACAAACTCCTATTTGTGGAAGGCACTCCTCCTCCAAAACAACAGAAATATTCATCACAATTTCCAGACCTTTCCAGATTCTGTTAGCTAGGTATACTGAAGACAGAAAAGTTGCACATTTATTTTCTTAATAATTTTCAAATTATTAAGAAAAATAGTCAGCCATGATGTATTTGGAGGTGCACAAGGCAATAAATTATAGCTTGTTCGTGCTGTAATTGAACCAAGAGAGAAACACTGGGCAACCAAGGAATGGCTGTAAGCAGGTCTTCACAATCTCAGGATGATTGCTTGGAAAGAACTGCAAAGGAAAATGGACAGAATGAAGTAAGGAGAAATTATTAGGACAGAAAACTTTTAAGTGCTTTGCTCCTTGGTCATCTTTGATGCTTAGAGGACCAGATAATTTGTTTCAACTAATCTAAAAACTTGACACAGTACTGCAGTGACTGTTGGTTGACAACCAAATGGACCACAGCTATGTAAGCAAAGTTCATCAAACAGCCCAAGGACATGGCCACAGGGCACTGAAAGTGTTCAGAGCTTCCCTAGAGGGACTGTTGATCCCTCACTGTGCTTTGGTCCAGCAGGCCAAGGACCTCACAGGATACAACCAAAACTGAGCATGAGGCAAACATGAATACTAAATAGAAGGTGCTACAGCAAATGTAACAGCAAATATCACAGTTGAGATGGCCACAATACAATTTCAGAAGGTTTTAAGCATTTCTCCAAACAGAGTAACATCTTACTCATCAGAAGGCTTCAGGTTCTGCCCATCCAGAATAACACCACACCACTTCAGAAGGCTACAAGCATCTGCCCTTCTTGTTCTTTAGCACAAACTTTTATACCCCCCATGTTGATGCCCTGCCCCTGTGTGCCCTCTGCTCCCTTTGGTGGTTGCTCAGTGCCCCTGGGCACTCCATGGCTCATTGCTGTCAGTGCTGCTCACCTGCTGCTCACAGCTGTGCCCATTGGGGATGAGGCTGGGCCAGCCCCGCTCCCATTTACCACAAACTGGGTACCTACAAAAAGAAAACACAGATTAAAACAAATTTTAACCTAACATTCTCTTTTTGTCACTTCCCTTAGGTTGGAAAAGTTCAACAATGGCTGGAGAGCACAGGAATTGCCCACAAAAATGTGTGAGGAGCAGCTGGACTTGCCTCCCTGTGGCTGGGGCAGGTGGCAGGGCCACACTGGCCCCAAGTGCATCTCCCTGCATTGGTCCTCCCTCTCAGCTGGCACATTAATGGAACTTCAGGCCCACTAAAAAATACTGGATATATTTCTCAGTCTCAACTCCAGCTTTCAAATGAGTGCATTATTTATTCATTAGTACTACATTCAAAGTGCTGTTTCCCTTGTTACTTGGTGAAATAAATGAAAGAATAGTGATATCACTCTAAATCCCAATTTACAGCTCTTGCAAGCCCCAGATGACTGTATCATAAAATTCTCCTTACCCTCCCCCCTTCTCCACTCCTTTCTGCCTTGCATCTGACTGAGAGAAGAACTGCCCACTGCAAGGAACTGAAGGCTGGCCTGGTGGCCTGACCTAAGAAGAGGAAGATATAATAATGATCAACAGATTCCAAATGGAGGTAAAGACAGTCCTAGACTCAACACTTGGATGAGAGGATTGGGCTCTACATGTAAGGTGCACCTGCAGATAGATTTTTTCCCTCTGGAGAAAGACTGGACAGAGAAAGTAAAGCAGACTGGACCATACAGACACAGTGCACATTTGTGGAGAATATTTTAAACTCATTGTTTGCTCACTTGTCACATGAAAAACAAAATATTTATCTAAAAAAATGTAGACTTGATTAATTTCTAAATCTTGATTTTGATTTTTTCTTTGGGAAACATCCCAAAATACCTCTGGCTTTCATGTGCTGAACTCCTTATGACTGTAACACACAGTTCAGCTCTCATAAGCTGCTTCTGGCCAAACTTGCAAATTTGATATTGCAAGAAATTGAGAAAAATACAGGGACATTAAATAGTGGGAGGTCTTCAAATATGATAGGTTTAGAACAAGCTTCAAACTATATGTTCAGGTACTGGTCTTTTATAATTATGGGACAATTCTAGCTTTGGCTAGAATTTAGCTCACACTGGCTTTGGGATTCTAATCCTGCTACTTTTGACACATCATACTCACAAGGAGAATCTTAACCCCAAATGCTTGATATAGCAGACTAATAAGATTTCAAAAGGTTTCTAAAAATCTATGATTTAAAAACTATGACTTTTAAACCCCATCTGGTGATTGTCAGTAAGGATACTGACACACTGTGTCTGCTTCACACTTGAGACACAGCAATGTGGAGGTATGGGGTGTAATTTTTCAAAGCGCTGTAGCTGTTAAGCCCCCACTTCTGACCAATTTCCGTAGTCACTTAAACTCCAAGGAGCCCTGAGTGTCATGGGAGAGCAATACTTAAAGGCAATATTATCTATCACCTCTCACCTTTCAGTTCCCTTGGAGCTGATGTTGACTGTTAAGACATTTGAATTACTTTAGTACCAGGAAACTTAAATTTTTGTCTCCACAAATATTCAGGCTCCCAGGAAATAGCAGATGCTTGTCCCATGCAGATGTGTATGAGTGTAAGGGCACAGGAAAGAGGGAGTGCAGATCTGTGGAAGGGTGTGACAGACTGAAGATGGCTCCTGCTGTTCACTGACCTGTCTAAACACACCCAGATACTTTCAAACAGGCAGTAAAATACCAGCACTGCCTGCTCAGGAGAGGGAAGACACACTGTGACTTGAGAGGAGGATCTAGTGGGACAAAAGCAAATTTAGTCCTTTCTGTTTGAAGAGGTAACTCAAAAGAGACTAAAGTAGGCAGAGTTAAATTAAACGAAGGTCAGAATGTAACCGTTCCTGAGACAGATTTAGGCAGCAAACCCCAAACTGCTTCAGGACACAAAAACTGGTACTTTATCTTGAAATATAACATGCACTATCTGGCACAGCATTGTTTCAATTATGAAACAATTCTCATCTCAGCTGACACACGTAATGAAGCTTGCTACTTGCCTAGTACATCATTTAAGGTGAAAGAAAAGAGGGTATGTTTTATCATGGTCTTTCATATCTTTGTCTATTGTTCTGCAATCCATTTGCATACCTAAAGGGAAATGGCCTTTTTAATTTCTTTCCCCTCTCCTAATCATCTGAGGCCTATTTAGAAGTGTTCTGTATCCTGTAATCAGGCAATTTATACAGTGCACACCCTTAGGCTACAGCCATTACAAACAAGCTGAAAAACTCCTTTACAATAAATGATTTAGCATGGGAAGACACCATTCATAATTAATTTTTTTCAGTTTGCATTGACAGATGGTCTCAGACATTGAAACATGGCCTACTGCCCATATCTTTATTCCAAAGAGAAAAGGGCAGCCTTAGAAGAAAAAGAGAAATGCCTGTAAGACTGCTTCACTTTGGGAATAAACATGTCCCCCAGCTTTTCATGAATTTGTGCATGCTAAAGACTGGATTCAAAGATTGTGGAAGTCAAAGGAAAAATAATGCCCATTAGCTTCTGACCAGGACCTGAATTAAAACCACAAGGAAAATATTGACTTGAAGGACAGTGTGCCTTTTTTCATTACTTTCCATAAGAGTTATTTCTGAGGCAGTTTAAACAGATTTATTGTGAAGGTGGTCTTGAAACTGATCATCTTTGGATTTCTGAAAGCTGGGGACTCACTGAGGCAGCAAGTAAAAGAGTTCTGCTACTAGCTACATTTTAAAACATGCATTTTCCTGCTTTCACAGGACAGCTGATGACAGCTTCATTCTCAATTTACTCATGTATTTGCTCACTGTTTACACGTTGCTTTTCAGTACTTTAAAACAACTTCTGATGCACTTCTGGGTTGCTGGCATCACTGCAAACTCCCCCAGACTGAGATCCAGCCAAGCAGGCTATTTTAGTGGCCTGTGCAAGCATTTTCTTGATGGTGATAGGATAGTCGAAACTACTACACAGCAAATTCCTAATTTAAGAGAAAAGAGACCTTTCTGTGCCATGACTCAGAGTACTCCGACCCTCCCTCTTGCTCTGTAAGAAAAGAGCAAGCTGCATTTCTATACGTGATCTCTAGAATGTGATCTAATCAAGTTTTGCTGAAGTCTGCAATGTGTTGAGTGCTGGTACCAACACCCAAAGCCATTGACTGCCCATTCAGGATGGTCTGGCTGGATTTACACACACACAAATACAAAGTGCCTGCATGAGCTCGGAGGCATGGCACAGGGATGACAAGATGTTATCTGAAAATGCAGTTAGCTTTATCTGCAATCTCATATTTGTATCTAGTCATGCCTGTGCTTGCCAGGAAGACACATTTACCATAACCTCCTAGGTTATAGTAGCCTCCTAGGGCCAGTATCAGATAACTGAGGTGAGTTGACCTTTCCAAGAAGAGATGACACAATGTACTTTAGGCAGGCCACTTCAAGGAGTGATCATACACAGCCAGAGACACTCGCCAGGCCTCCACAGGCCTCATGAGGTTCTTGCTGTTGACCTCAGGTAATCTTCTTCTGAAAATGTAAGAATTAGCCGGTACTAACATCTACAGGCATTCCACACTACATTACAGTTTCCAAAGGAAAAAGAAAATGGGAACATCCCATCTTGAAACATTTTCCTGCCTTCTGGATGTGATCCCCAGCATTGCTGGCCTCAGAGGGCAGAGCCAGGCCCTGGAATTGCCCCAGGGCCCTGCAGCACACAGGCACCTACAGCAGCACAGCTGGGTGAATTAAACCAATACTCACTTTCCACTAAGCTAAATCTTACTGACTTCTGCTTTAAGAGGGTTTTGGGGATCACCAGAGTTGCTTAATGTTGCTTTGGTCTTCTCTTTTTCCCACTGTGCCAAAGCCGACTTGCCTGACAGATGTGTTGAAATGCCAACAGGAAAGCTCTTTTCACTCGAATTTCAACCTGGCTCAAACCATCAGTTTTACCACCACAAGGATTTGTGAAAGTCAAAAAGTTTCATCTGATTTGGAAACAATAAAGCCTTTGAGTCTTTAAGTTTTTCATTTATCACGTGTCCTAACTATCAGTCCTGTGTCAGCTGAGAACTGAGGAAAAAGCTCTCTGAAAATCTCCAATTCTGAAGAAATAATCAACTATCGTTAAAATGGCATTGTTCTCTCTGCAATGCAGAACCATCTGGATTCTAGCAGAGAGCTAGGCGACACTGGATATGCCACTGGCCCAGGGAAAAGTACTTTCAAAAAACCAATCTGCTTCCTTCACATGAATACATTGCTCTCACTGTTTCTTGCAGTTGATGCAATACATGTTTCTGCCTCTCTATGAAATTTCAGCAATACTTGTATTCAATCATAACTGACTGCTACTGGTCTTCAAAATGAAAGCATGTTTATTTTATTAATTGGACCAAGTCTTGAGGCCATTAAAAGGTTATTTTCTTAGCCCTTCATTACATATTCAGTGGAGATGGTAGCCAAGGTATCTTTTTCCCTTTTCTTTCAGCCACAGAATAGGAGCTTTCTCTTCTCCCTCTTTCCCTCACTGATAGACACTTAAAATTCAAATTACAATTATACTAGACCATAAAAATATACAGGTAAGGCAGATGTTGTGAGCAAGGTACTTGACAGAACCTCTTTATTTGTTTGGATGACTTAATAAACTGCAGAAGCTGAGGTCATCAAAACCTCTCAATCATGTTGCAGTCTAGTGCCAAAAGCTGTAACAAAAACTGATGATGTAAAACATGTTTAACATGCCAAACCCAAATTTCAGTCAAGCCAGTCTGTAATAAGACTATTTTCTACTTGAACATTACATGGCAGTGTGCTCAGGTTTATTTATGCTGTTCTTAATAGGAATAACCAGAAACCCTGTTTCACTTGCTTAAGGCTGAATGCAAAGACTGTTTTGTCATGAAACAGTTTGAGATCTATGTTGCTTTCAGAGCCAGTTAGGCAGAACACAGATATTAAAATTGGATTTTAGAAACTG